GGGTTAGGGAAGGCGAATGCCTGGCCCCCGGGGGGGGGGTTTTGGGGGCCCCCGAACCCCCCCATTTCCCCACGACCGGGAAAAAAGGAAACCCCCACTAAAAAAAAAAAAAAAAAAAAAAAAAAAAAGTCAAGTTTATGAAATTTTCTAGACAGGGGACAACTTTAGTATTATGAATAAATAGTTGCTAAGTATCAAACTGTGTTTTAAAGTCTCCAAATTAATAACTATGGATCCCTCACAAAACCAAAGACTACTTAGTTCAAAACTTTCACCTAGAATGGAATCATCAGAATATAAGTTGTGCTGTGTTCATTTATGATTAGTAAACTTTACTTTCAAAATACTAAATTTGGTAGATTAAATTTTTTTCAAAGCTTTAGGCAAATTTACATACGGTTACTTGGGAAATATTTTAAAACTAGAAAAACTTTTTTTTGAAGTCAGTATTAATGACTTAAGGAAAAGAAACAAATCTTATTAAAATATATAGAATAAATGGTATCTAAGTGAACAGATTAATTTTTCTAACTTTCTCTGTTTGCAGTAACCATGAGTGTTTTATTTCTGAGTTTGAAACAAGATAACATTTCTGTGATTTGTATTATGTTTTCTATGAGACTCATCTGAATTGCATAATCTCAATCTGCTGAGTAAAATAGTTTGGCCTTTTGCAAAAGCCACCCATTTGCTAGCCTTAAGTGCTTCACTTGTTTGAAGGTGGAGAATCCTGCAGAATCTTAGATCTTGGGTACCAGCTGACCAAATATATAAATTACTAATTCCTACATGGGTAGAGGGGGTGATAGCCAGATTGCTTTTAAAATAAATGAGAGAAGGAGGCCACATGAAAGAAGGCATGAAATATCAAATTCTCTCTGTGTGAAATAGCCCCCTCCTGTGTTCTTCCTACTTATCTAACTACAGATCCTTTGTAGTACTCCTGGCCTAGGCACTCCATCTTAATTAAAAACATGAGAACAGCACCTTTCTCTTTTTTTGGTGGGAAAGAAGCCCAGTTTTTATACATGGTATCTTGACCCTCCCCACATTGTGCTATAGCACATCACTAGTTCATGCTGACTTTATTTTCTTCAGACTATCAGGAGCTGAATTGCATTGTCCTGCCCCTAGACAAAACCAGACTTTCCTTCAGTGTGTGTGTCTGATACTTTTCTCCTGAGTAGACCCCTTCCTTCTTACATATTTTGATGGGAAGACAGTAGAGCTATTCTAAGGGATGGAGATAGATCTTAGTGACAGTAAAGCATCAAAATAGTTATTCTAGGAGAATTGCAGAATATTGTAAGAAGGGATTACAATTAGTTCAAAAGAATTTTTTCATAAAATAATGTTCTGATGGCTTTCAGTTTTTTATGGCCATTGGTGATTACCCTAACATATAAATTGCATAGGAAATTCTGTATGATATTTAGCAGGAAGGAAAATGTTCTTTACCTTAACCAAATATTTATGTAATAATATTTTGTCATAGTCTGACCATGATTCACTGTTGAAAAGTACAAGTGATCTATTTAAGACTTTTAAGTCTGAGATTGGGTTTTTAATCTCAATTGTCTAATAAGGTTGAAAACATCACCAATTATGATTTTTTAAAATGACCACTTGTCTATCCGCTTTGTATTCTGCTTCTAACTGTGGTATATGCTTATACTGTTTCAGGCCTCAGTAAATGTTCTTCAGAGATTGCATGAGGATAATTATATAACAATGTTCTTAAAAAAAAAAAAGAATGTTCTAAGTGTTTTATACAAATTAAGTTAATATTCCTAAAATCTCAGTGAAATAAGTACCACTATTATCCCATGAGAAATTGAGATGTATGTTAGTTAAATGTTTAAGTTAGTAAGTGACAGCACTAGAATTTCCACCCAGGCACCTGGTTCCATTCTGTGTTTTTGACCACTTTGATGTAATGCTTCATTACATTTTATCTTGTTAACAGATATAAAAGTATCTGTGTGCTGGATGTTGTACTAGCTTTAGAATATGTAGCAATGAACAAGATGGGCATACTATTTGCCCTTCAGAAGCTTGTAATCTAGTCAAGTCTTATGGAATTTATTAGTAGAGCTTTTATGTTCATAGAATCCTCAATATCATGGACACAGAGAACCTCAGAGGGGGATGTGGAATGGTACCTTTGAGGTCATACAGGCTAACCTTTACCTCATTCATTAGTCCCAGTTACACACCCTTGTTCAGCCATGGAGATCTTGGCCTCTCATAGGCAGCCCACTTCATTTCAAGGCAACCCTAATTATTAACATATCCTTCCCTTTAATAAATATTAGGAGCTACAAGATACTGTTAGTATTCCTGGAAGTTAGCTAGCAAAGAATTTAACTATATCATGCCCTCATCATATTTTCTTTATGGAAATGACTATAAATGTTTACTTAGTAAGAACTTCCGGCTCTATTTAACTTATGTGGAAGCAACGTATGCCACAATGCAGTAAAATTCTGTTAATCACATCAGGACTTGTTTCCCAACTTGTAGGTCAAGGATTTTTTTATGACATGTGCTGACTCTGTGATTTAGATTTCTTTTTTTTTTTTTTTCCCATTTATTTATTTTATTGCATTTTAGGTTTTGGGGTACATGTGAAGAACATGCAAAATTGTTGCATAGGAACACACGTGGCAGTGTGATTTGCTGCCTTCCTCCCCATCACCTACATCTGGCATTTCTCCCCTTGCTATCTCTCCCCAGCTTCCCACCCCCCACCGTCCCTCCCCTATTTCCCCCCAACTGACCCAAGTGTGTAGTGCTCCCCTCCCTGTGTCCATGTGTTCTCATTGTTCAACAGCCGCCTATGAGTGAGAACATGCGGTGTTTGATCTTCTGCTCTTCTGTCAGTGATTTAGATTTCTTGAGCAATTTCAATTTCAGATGGTGCAACTAGATTGTATTTTCATAGGTAAATGATTTTCTATCTACACTAGGTGGCAGTAGATGAAAGTGAATAAAATGTTTACAAGCAGTCTCTCTGGACAGCGAGTCTTAAGATTAAAAGGAATACAAAGCACTCACATTTCTGTTCTTTGCCTCAACTCTGGTCTTAGAGTCAGTGGAGGGAGGCTATGTTTGTTTTCTGCTTTATGGGACAGCCGGGAAGAAACAGCGGTTTTGGCTAGCTGAGCTGACCGTCCCTCATCCTCACCCTGCACAGCTTTGTTTCTTCTTTACTGTAACATGGCAGTTACACCTCCCTTTTTGGCTGGATAAGTATAAAATGCTTTTACATTTCTAAAACTACAGCCATACCCATCAAGCACAGTAAGTGCTTTAAAAATTACTCCACTCCTCTTAACGCTGGACTGGCTCAGCCTTCATCACTACAGACCTGGATTAATGCTGTAGTGTCCTCACTGCCGTCCCTAATTTATTCATGATACTTTATGTGTCTCTGTCAGATTACTCTTTCTAACGCACATTTTAGCTTCCAACTTTCTGTGCCTTCCCAAATTCCTTCACCCTTCACAATTTGACCCTTGACAACCTTCTTTCTACCTGTCTGAAAGTATGTCAGCATTCTTCCACTGTGCCGTGAAGAATGCTCTTTTACTCATCTCCCTCTCTTTGTTTTTGTTTTCTAGATCTTTTATTAAAGAGCCACCATATGTCATGCTTCCTCCATAGGAAGCCTTTCTCACTATCTAAGCCAAGCTTGTCCAGCCCACGGGTTACATATTGGCTTTGAATGTGGCCCAACACAAATTCATAAACTGTCTTGAAACATTATGAGATATTGTTGCAATTTTTTCAGCTCATCAGCTATCATTAGTGTTAGTGTATTTTATGTGTGGCCCAAGATAATTCTTCTTCTTCCAATGTGGCCCAGGGAAACCAAAAGATCAGACACCCCTGATAAGCGCTCAGTCGATAGTTTCTTCTTTAAGGTTCTTTAGTACACTTACTGGTACCATTCATTTGATATAAAGCTCTGCTATCTTTGTTGCTTTTTGTTTACTTCTTTGTATTTATAGTGTTTCAATATAATTTTTAATTTTTTTGTCTTATAAATATCCTCTCTCAAAGGTAGTCACCATTCTAGGTAATCATTCCCTTGCTTTTGTAACTTTATATATTTGAATCTATAATTATTCTTAATTTTGAATGAGTTTGAACTTTATATAAGTGGAATTATATTGAATATACGTTTCTGTAACTTGCTTTTTAACTTAACATTAAAGTTTTGAGATTTATACATATGAACTCTGAATTCATGCATTCATATATTGTTTTCACTGTTGTTACTGCATTCCTGTGAATTTGTCACTGTAGTAATTCTCACAGCCTGTTTTACTGTTGATAGACACTTAGAGTAATTCCAGTAGTTTTTTGGCCATTACAAACAATGCTGCCACAAACAGCATTGGCATCATTGAGCTTTCTAGTTTTTGCAGTTTAATAGGTATTAAGTGGTATTTTGCTTTAATTTATACTTTTCTTATTACTAATGTTCTGAATATATTTGTTTTCCATGTATACAGCACTCTGCTTTTGAGCTCTTTATGATACAGCTTTCTACTTATTTGAGCCTTCTTTCATGTTAACATAAGTTTTATTCTTTTCCACAAGGTCTTACGTATTTTTGAATGTTTATTCTGATGTATTTTTAAACTTGTATGGTATTCTCAATGGTGTCCTTTTAAGTTTTTGAATTTTCCAGCTGTGTGCTAGAATGCAGTAGTGCAGTTGATTTCATATACTGATTTTGAGACTAACAATCTAATTAAACTCTGAATATTCTAATGATTTAGCAATAGATTCTTTGGGCATTTCTTCATAGATAACATTATATATGATGAGAATATTATTTCTTTCTAATTGTTATCTTAATACCTTCTATTTCCTTTTCTTACTGAACTGGCTAGGATTTTTTTCTTCATCTTTTGAGGTGGGTCATTTTATTTTACTTTTAATACTCCTTTTTAGGTAAATTACATTGATTTTCTAAAGTGAAAACCTTTTATTTCTGGGGTAAATTCAACCTCATTAAAATGACCTTTTCTCATATGTTAGTAGAATTGGTAGGCTAGCATTTTGCTTAAAATTTTTTTATCCATAGTAATGAATATACCAATATACTTTAATTTATTATATATATATAGAGAGAGAGTATATTTTAATAGAAAATGCCCTCCAGATTTTTACAAGTAGCATTTGGTTTCTTCTGATATGAAAATGTCATAATTTTTTTTTATGTGTATATACAGATTAATCCAAAGCTTGAGGTAATCGATTTGCAGATCTCTACTCCCCCTGTTGTGGATATCCTTTCTTTTGATTCTACCACAGTAAGTTGGGTTGTTTTTTGTTTTGTTTTGTTTTTGTTTTTGATATTTAAGTAGCATATAATCATTTGACATAATCCTTTTTCCTTTAAAAATGTTGGGGGAGGAGATAAAATATGGGCTAGGTAGCCTAACATTTTTGTATAGGAAGAACTTTGTAGAGTCATATTTACCATGCATCTAAATAGCCACAAGGGGAATCAGCACCAATTTCCAGAAAAGCTTTTACTTTGAGGTCCTTGAGCTCAGTCTAATTCATACCCACTGTCTCATGTATTAAGATGCCATCCAGGTGACATTTCACATGCTATTGCATAGCAGATTCCTTGTTATGTTATTTGTCCTTCGGAGGTGCAAAACTTACTTCTAGTCTTCTCATTAGAAGCTGTAAGAAAAACAGCACTGCCTTTGTTATAATCTCTTGATAGAGTATCCAGAAACTAAGAAATATTTCTAATATTTTTATAAAATATAAAAATTACATATATAAAAATTTATAAAAATGTAGTTTATAAAAATTACATATATAAAATTTATTTATTCATTGTTTTCAAAGTCTTCAAAGATTAAGAGTTTTAGCCTCTCCATTTAGGATTCTGTTTACTCTTTCCAAGGCAGATCACTGCCACAGTTGATCCTGCTATTCAGTGCAAAACTAATTGTAAGAACAATTGGGAAGAACAGCATGGTCTTCTACAACACTGCTGCTGTGATGTCAGTTTAGTTAAATATTTTGCGTACATTTTTAATTTATAGCCAAAATAAAACCCTGACATTATGACATTACAAATTCTCTAACAGATGTCAAGAAGAGTATTTATTGTAGAGGAATTCTACAGAGGACTAGTCCATTTTGAGTCTACCTTGTATCAGAAAGCATTCTAATTATTCAAGGGTCCTTTCAGTGTTAATCCCATAGCAGAGAAGACTCCTAGATCTCTCACAAGTTTCAGTGACAAAAACCAAGTGAGGGTAACCAGTGGGCTGATTGTTAAAGGGAATTCCAAGAATCACTGGTGACCACTAGGACTTCAAACTGATCTGTGGTCTTGTTTCTTACAGTATTCATGTTTGTAACTCCACCAGCTTTGCTGCATTAATTTAAGAAATTAAAAATTAATTGAATATCTACAACTTGCTACAACTTGGCTTATAGGAGGTGTTCAATACATTTATGTTCAATTAATTACAAAATGCATGTTGTAGAAGTTTACAAAATCTGATGAGTTAGGTTTTCCCCCTGTAGTGAGAAGGAACAAAAAGATAGGTTTATGAGATATGCTGCCTCCTTGTGAGGTAGTCAGTAGACTAAAATTGCACATTCCTGACCTAGAAAATATAATGGATCTCTTTGGTCCACCTTTGAGACTCACTGTCCCTGCCAGTACCCTTCAAGTTTTGCAAAGCCTCATTACGTGAGGAATCCAGACAGCTATTGAGGTGGGCATAACTGCCTCCTAGCCAGGAACATCAGGGTGTCTCTTCTAGTATAGATTGTACATATTTATTGTAGATTGTATGTATCTATTGTAATATACATCTATACTGCAGGATCATAACTCAAGGAATATAAGGGATATGTGGGACTTTGAAAAGACAATTCTGTTTAAGAAACATATGATATTTAATAGCTGTGCTACAAAACAGAGTAATAAAATTGAAGAGTAACATTATTATCCTCAATGGAAAATATTAGGTTGAATTATATGAAATGGTCATTTTGTAGGAAAAAGTCTAATATCAATGACTTCACATGGTTTCACCCAATATATAAGCATTAAAAGGAAGACTCCACTGTTACTTTGAGTTGTATACCTGATAGTATGTAAAAATCCACCAAACAAAAAAACAGCCTCAACAAAACAAAATCTTGTTTGCTATAAACTGGTTTGAGATTATGCTAATGTCCCATCTAGATAGATTATAATCTGGAAGATAGTTGCTTGTTGCCAAGCAAGGTATAAGGACTTTATAGAGGTTCATAAAGCAGTTATACTTTTTAAAATAATATCTCCAAAGGGTTTTTCTTTAAATTTTCAATGTGTATTTCTTTTAGTTTAATGATAGATAATTGGTTAGGAAACTAAAATAAAATTGCTTTTTCAACTATTTGCCATTCCATTAATAAAGCAGTAAATAAGCCTTAATTATAGTCTCCTCCCTATTTTGGCAATTTCTCTTTTGCTTCTGCACAACAAATCAGACATAATTGTAAAGGGGATTTATTTCTGCTTTGGCATGAAACACAATTGCATTAAATATTTTTGGTGTGAATTTTGCATGCGATTGTAATTTAAAAACCTGGAGAAATACTCGAAGCCCAAAAAAAGCAGTGTTTAAAGGTAATTTTTGTTATTGCTATTGTAGTTACTGTTTCTTTTGAGGGTTGGTTTGTTTTGTTTTTGTAGACTGAACGTTTCCTTAAAAATACATTTCATCAAGATAGGACCTTGAAAAGATGTCTGTTTAAACCTCAATTTGTCAAATTTCTAGTAGCATAAAAGAAGTTTGTTATGGTGTAAGAAATAGTTGGCCTCTATTTCTACTTTCACTTGATTTAATATATTCAGGAAGATTTGTAGACTCAAGTGTACTGATGTCTGTGCTCTGATGTCTTCTTACTACAGAGAAGAGATTGTGGCATACAGTCTTTTTGCATCTTTGTGGCTTGTGCTTGTGTCTCTAATGCCAAGCTGGAAATTTGATACAATATTTGTGGATTAAAATAAGTTGTTACTAATCTATATTTTTAAACCTTTATTGTTAAAAAAAACAAAAATTTCTGTAAAGGAGTATACTGGTGGCCATATAAGCATAGTTTTCAAATGTGGTTCTCAAATTCCTGACTCTCTATTCTGATTATATTGTCACTTATTATATACCAATTTCCTAAAGACTATTTAGTTCAAGATTCTGTTTGAGTCTTTTAATGTTTTCATTTTATAGTTAAAACTAGACAAGGATTCTATCATCAAAATTATGTGAGGGCATTTGTCATTAGCATTGACATGTGGTATAGCTACACAGGATACCCCACTCCTCTCTTCTAAAAAGACAAGCAAGATAAGAATTTGTTCCCTACATTTATCCTAATACAAAGAGTTTTAAACTGAGCTCAGTGACTCACACCTGTAATCCTAGCACTTTGGAAGGCCGAGGCGGGTGGATCACAGGAGGTTAGGGGTTCTAGGCTAGCCTGGCCAACGTGGTGAAACCCCGTCTCTACTAAAAATACACAAATTAGCTGGGCATGGTGGTGCACTCCTGTAATTCCAGCTACTTGGGAGGCTGAGGCAGTAAATTGCCTGAACCCCGAAGGTCGAGGTTGCAGTGAGCTGAGATCATGCCACTGCACTCCAGCCTGGGCTACAGGTGAGACTCCGTCTCAAAAAAAAAAAAAAAAAAAAAAAAAGTTTTAAACTAACTGTAAATAAAATTTATCTTAAAAGACTCTAGGATTATTTTTTTTTATCTTTAGGAAAATTGTATTCTTAAATTCTGATGTATTAATTTTATTGTTTGTCTTATAAATGAACAAAATGAAGTTGCTAATCCTTTGATTATCAAAATACTGGACTCTTTTCAGAGAGTTGACACGGTGCTCTCATCTTCGTCCTGGCAACTGTGCAGAATATGAACATAATGCAGAATATGAGTATGCCTTTCTTTAGAATTAGAGACATTATTTATTTCAAGTCAAATTAATTTACAGTAAACATGCAGTTATGTTATAGAAAAAAATCCAAGAGTCTACAGTCTTTTGATGTTCCATCAGTCAAAATAGTTAAAGATGTCCTGCATGAAGGCATTACATGAGATGCTGAGGGAGATATCAAGTTGCTGCATGATCTCAAGAAACAAACAACCTAGCTGGATATAAGTAACAGAGTAAGAAATCAGTGTTGGTTTCAGAACATTAGATGTCAAGTGTACATGAATGTCAATGAAAGGTTGTTAATGGGCAGTATTCAGAAGAGATCACTAATGGGCTGGAGTAAACTAGAGGACTTCTCTAGAAGAACACCTTTGACCAGTTCTTTTTTTTTTTTTTTTAAGACAAGTTATCTCACCCTGTCACTCAGGATGAAGTGCAGTGGTTTGGCACTATCTTGCCTCACTGCAACCTCCACCTCCTGAATTCATGTGATTCTCCTGCCCCAGCTTCCTGAGTAGCTGGGATTGCAGGCACCTGCCACCACACCCAGCTAATTTTTGTATTTTTTAGTAGAGACAGGGTTTCACCACATTGGCCAGGCTGGTCTTGAACTTCTGACCTCAAGTGATCTGCCCACCTTGGCCTCCCAAAGTGCTGGGATTATAGGCATGAGCCCCTGTGCCTGGAGAGAAAGCAGGGTATAAGTAGTTGCTTCAGAACAAATTGAACACATATGAACCATGGCAATAAAAATGCATCAGTCTAGTTTAGAGTCTTTAAGTTGCCTAAATCAATGGACAGCAGATGTGGTAGAATCCAGGAAGGATGTCTACTCACACACATATATTTCTGAATAAGTATTTATTAACTCACTATTCTTGGCTTTAGAGAATGTGAACAAAACAAAAATACCTGCTCCAGAGAAGGCTGCATTCTACATTCCAGTCAGAGAAATGCAGTTCACAAATTTAAAAAATAAACTGTATATAGTATAGGGAAAGCAAAGGAGAAAAAGGCACTGAAGGCAGAGAGGAAAAGATAGGAAGAAGGCTGCAATTTTAGCTAATATGGCCAGGACAAGAGTCACAGGGGCCTTTGAGTAAAGAGCTGAAGGAGTGAAGGGAGCCAGTCATATGGCTATCTGGGAAAGGCTCTGCAGGAGAGTGGGAGAAGTGATAGATAGAAGGCCAGATTGCAGGTGACACAGGAGCCACTGGCGGGTTTCCTGCAGAGGAGGGATATGATCTGACTTATGTCTTAACAGGTTCACTCTGCCTGCTGTACAAGAACAGGCTGGCAGTGTTGATGAGGGTGGACAAGAAGACTAATTAGGAAGCTAATGAAATAC